CCTGACAGGTAATCAAACTACCTGACAGGTAATCAAACTACCTGACATGTAATCAAACTACACCAGATAGTTGGTGATTTAATGTTTGGAGCTCTACAACCAAGACGTTTCTTTTGATCTGTGCTCCTTCAGTTCATCTTCTTTCATCGTGTTGACACCCCCCGCCCCCCCCCCCCCCGCGCGTTGTCTTTTTTTCTCTCTTTGCTTGACCTCTCCTTCCCTGCATGACCTCCGTCTACCCTCTCTCTACGATCGCCCTCCATCTTTTGCCTCTCTTCACCTCACTTTTTTCTTTTTAAATTTCCCCTCTCTAATCATTCATATGGCATCTCTCCAACCCCTACCCCCACCTGTGCAGCAGCCCACCGGACCAGCATGTCTCCTCCAAGCCCCCGCTGAGCTCCTCTGTCATGACATCACGCATCCTGCTGCGGCAACAGCTCATGCGGGAGCAGCTTCAGGAACAGGAGCGGCGCGAGCAGCAGAGGCAACGGTCCTCCCAGTACCCACAAACCACAGCGGCCCAGACCCCCGCCATCAATGTCAGCGCTCCCATCAGTTTACCACCTGCTGCCCAGGTGCCCATGGAGGTGCTCAAGGTAAGCAGCCGTGGCTCCAGCTGCTGAGGGGCTTTCATTCGCAGACTTATTTCTGTATGAAGTTTCCATGTCAGGAAAATGTGTGCGTCACGGCTGCAGCCTGAATGGTCCAGCTGTATTAATAGAGTTCTGTGACTCGTGCGCAGACACTCAGGCAATCGTGGTTTTACTATGCCCGTGTGTAAAACTTGAAGAGAAAGCACGGGGAGTGAGTGAAGTGTGTTAAAAAGCGTATTTGGGGATTATCTTTCCTGAGAGAATTCCTCTTTAATGCATGCTGTGCCTCCAGCCATTTGGATTTAGCCATCTTTAATCCTATTTGCTCGGCTACGTTCACATCTTTTCATAGCTTTGATTCTCCGGCAGTCTGAGGGACGGAAGGCGTGTTGAGATTTTCTGTATGAGTAGAGAACATTGTTTTTAACGCTAGACTTCAGTCAGACTATTTGGTAAGTTTTACTCTTTCTTTTGCATGTTTTTTTTTTTTTTTAAAGAGATTGAAATCTTGTTTAGGTTTTTAAAGGAATGGGTCAGTTGATGTTGTGTAAGTGGACAACCAGACTTTTAGACTATTTGCTTTTTTTCTTGATCACTTTTCTTGTAGTTGTTGGACTCATGAAAAGCTCTGTGTGTACTTTGAAAGGTTTTAGCATTGAGTTTGTGTGCTTAAAAAAAACCAAACTACTTTTTATACATTGTTCTGAATGAGCTGAGGTGTTACATGTGTTGATAAATCTTTCTTTCTAGATCCTTTGTTTCAGACTTTTTGCTTTTGACCCTCCTTTTTTTAAAGCACAAGTTTGTGAATCCATTAGAAATAAAGACCTGCAGAAATATCAAACTGCATTTGTGTATTTAGAATCAATATATCAAATATTCTTGATCGCTAGTCTGATTTTTGTACAACACGAAATGAGTCTTAACTTCTCTTTATTGGCCTCTATAGATCAATTGTAGTTGCTTTACAGGCAGTACTCAGATGATTTCAGAGTTTAAGACAAATGACCTTTCTGTTGAGCCCAAACATGGATGAAAACACCTTTTAGTTGAACTTCCTTATTGTCGGAGATGTACTGTGTGTTCACGGGAGACAGCTGTCATATTTTGCTCCATCAGCACCCTCAGTTTAACCAGAACAGGCAAATGTTGCATTTACTGACTCTATGGAAGAAAGAAACAGTCGGAGAAACAGGTTTTATTCATGGGTTGTTAGAAGAATGTGTAAAGAAAAAAAAGCTGTACTACCCTAAACAGGAACTTAATTTCCCTCATTTTCATAAAATATTATTGCATTATAACCTATATACACTCGTGTATGTAGTTTTTTTTTCTACTCATTCATTCATTTTTAGTATATCTTTATTTTTAATGCATTATTTTATGTCATCTACATTGGGGGAGTGGTGACGCAGAGGTTAGAGAAGGTGACCTGTGATTGGAAGGATGCCTGTTTGCCTCCCTGGACCGACAACATCAAAATGTGGGTGGAAAAGGTGAAACACCCACACCTGTCTCCACCCTCATTTGCCCCACTCTGGGTCCTTGAGCAAGGCCCCTTACTCCCACCATCTGATCCCCTGGGCACCCTAGATAGCAGCGCTCTGCTCCACACAGAGGGCTGCGGTTGCTCCGTGGTCTGTGGTTGCATCGACATCCGGCATAAAAATACACAGCCTGGCCAAAAAAGAAGTCGCCACCTGGATTTAACTAAGCAAATAGGTATGAGCCTCCTCTTGGATAATTACTGCATGGGCAATCATCTTTCAGCTGGCAACAAGTTCTTTAACCCCAACTGGTGCAATGAGTTGCTTCTCATTTCTTAAACAACCATGTTGAAAGACACATCGCATGGTCGTGGGAAATATGTCAGTCTGTTTGAGAAGGGTCAAATCATTGGCATCAAGTAGAGAAAACATCTAAGGCGACTGAAGAATCTACTGAAACTGGTTTAAGAACTGTCCAACGCATTTTTAAAAACTGGAAGAATAGTGGGAACCAGTGGTGTAGTCTGCATTTTTGTAGTGGGTATACTGCGGTAAAGTTAGTTTTACATTGGACACCACTGAAGCCACGGAGCACGAATGTCCAACGTCCAATGTAAAACTAACTTTACCGTGGTCGGTCTGTATATTGTGCTCAGAACCCAAAGTACATTAGTTAGTACAATGTAATCGTCAATTTATGTTGATTTTTAAGCTGATGCTTATATTTGAATAAATGTACAACAAACTTTGTACAACAGTTGGCTTTGTATTAAAAATATGTCGTAGAATTTATAAAACAGTATCAAAGCAAAACATGTTCAAGCATTAAGCAGTAAGTACAGAAGCATTAATTATACAATAACTTGCTGGATAAACAAATGTAATAAACAAGCATACCAATAGATTGTTACAGAAGCGTTGATCTGCTGTTTAACTTATCATGACACATGCCTATTGATATGTCATGCATCACTGGGCACTTTTAAGTGAGTATACTGCAATTTTTGAGCTTTACCCACGTATCACATAGACCACACCACTGGTGTCTTCGAGGAAGAAATGTGGCTGGAAAAAAATCCTGAATGATCGTATCAGCGATCACTTAAACATTTGGTGAAATCAGATCGAAGAAAAACAACAGTAGCACTCAGGGCTGTGTTTAATAGTGAAAGTAAGAGCATTTCCACATGCACAATGTGAAAGGAACTCAAGGGATTGGGACTGAACAGCTGTGTAGCCTTAAGAAAACCACTAATCAGTGAGGCTAACTGTAAAAAAACGGCTTCAATTTGCTCGGGAGCATAAAGATTGGACTCTGGAGCAATGGAAGAAGGTCATGTGGTGTGATGAGTCCAGATTGACCCTGTTCCAGAGTGATGGGCGCATCAGGGTAAGAAGAGAGGCAGGTGAAGTGATGCACCCAACATGCCTAGTGTCTAGTCATCAATGCAAGATCTTTGTGAAAAATTAATGCAACACTGGATGGAAGTAGATCTTGTGACGTTGCAGAAGCTCATCAAAACAATGCCACAGAGAATGCTGCTGTAATCCAAGCTAAACATGGTCCAACGAAATATTAATGTGTGACCTTTTTTTTGGTGGCAACTTTTTTTTTTTTGACCAGGCAATGTAATTGTCAAGTCTTTGTGCGACTTACAATAGTTTGCTGTGATGACCCCTGAAGAAGGGAGCAGCCGAAAGAAAAAAAAAGTGTCATCTACATTGGGACGCTGTAGCACCCTCAGCACCCCCAGTTCTCACTGCGCTAAGAAACAGCAAACCATTTATTTCTGTCCTTGAAGAAGCTTTATAATCGAGCTCCACAATACAGTGACGTTGGCTTCTTTTATAACAAACTTATTAAGTGTATTACTCTGACTGTGAGCCACTCGACCAGTCAAGTTGTTGACCCCCCTCTCCCCACCCGCCCCAGCATAGTTCCACCGCCCACTTTAAAATCTGCTGTAGATTATGTGAAGTTGTTTAGAGCCCTCAGAAAACAAATGGGAGCTTTTGAATGAGGGATAGATCAAAGCTTTAGCTGTGTTTGTAAAATCTCTTTAAAAAAACCCCAAAAAAACAGAATTGGACTTGTTGAGAACTCTTTGTTGAGTTTAATCTGTCTGCAGCACATTCGGAGATTTCATGGTTTTGTGCTCAGCCGTGCTGCTGCATGTGTGTGGCATGGGCCCTGCAGTGAAGCACAAATACAGTATATCCATTCAAAACATTGCCTTATGCCATGCAGCATAAACACTGCTGACTTCCATAATCTGCAGCTCTTTGAGAGGTTTAGGACGCCCCCTCCCTGAACCCTCACCCTGTGTACAATACATGAATTTGGGGGTAATTTCTCAGTTTTTGCTAGAGCTTACAGGCATTCCTCTTTGACTGAAGTCTTCAAATGAAAAGGCCGTTCCAGCTTGGTGCTGTTGAGCTGGGTTAACCTGCTCCCCTGTCTGTGCGTAGATTAGCAGAGTCCCTGCAAAGCTCAGGGGTACCAGGCAGAGCTGTTGAACCTCAGAAAGTGCAAATATTAGGCTCAGATGAGTTTATCTAAAGACTGATTGGACCCTTAATTAACCAACTGACCTCTGACCCTGTGGGGAATAAGTATGGGATCAGTTTGGGGATCAGGACAAAGTTGAGCACAGCCTTACCACACACTGAACGCTAATTCAGTGAAGAATGCCTGTAATTAGCTCCCACTGCTTTAATGCCGTGGCGTATTTAGAGAGAATAAATACAGCTTTGAAAGAGTTAAATAATGATTTTGTAAAGATTTATAATGCAGTGACAACAGAACAATAAACTCTACCACATCGTTGCTCGTAAATCAACAACTGTGTCTTTCTTTTTCAGACTCATTTAATATGGATTTACACCTTTAATTCAAAATGTAATTGTACATTTTTCATTTCCTACCTAGCCTAACTAATAAAGCTACATTTCAGCATGTATTCACTTTCTCAGCAGCTTCACTGCAGCTAATTTACAACTGTAGCAGTGGAGTTGAGGCCAGTGTTATCCAACATTTATTACTAGAAGGCACAGAGTCCTGATGCATGCTCAGTAATTCATCCATCCATCCATCCATCCATCCATCCATCCATCCATCCAT